GATTTACTAACCGCAGCACCAATGGCGATAAACAACAACTCAAAGCGTCCATCTCTATCTGTTTTGATATGAGTTACCGACCCAGGATTTTTCAGCTTTAAATTGTGACAATAAGCCGGCAGTTGGGCAAACGATGCTTCTGGCGACCCCCTCAACAATTCCAAGGCATAACATTTGGCTCTCCAAGCTTGAGAATATGAGATACTAATCTTGAACCGAGCATTCATGTCAGTCATAATTTCATGTCCCCGATATACCCTGCCATTCAAAAACATTAACTCAGCCAGAAAACCACCCAACACCTTTTTGTTTGCCTGTCTATGGTGAGGAAAAACTTGGGTTCTTGAACATGTATGTTTATCAATAAAAGTCCTAACTTAAAACATTTCTCAATCTTTTATCCGCTTTGCAATCATACGCCACGTACAGTTTTTGTCAATCATACACCTTGTTTCGAAACGATCTTTGTTTGATTTGTTAACTTTTAGTTGATAGCCATCTTCCACACATTTCGTATACAAAGCTATCTTCAAGTCTTCCTTTTTATCAAAACAATCATCTTTCTTGATACGAATAATTTTTGTGTAACAATCAACTGCTATTTTTACTAACTCTTCTTCCGATATCTGAAGTAATTCTGGCATATTCCAGTTATACTCCCGTGGTATTTTCTGTGGGGACTTTTCTTCGGGGATTTCTTCTTCTTCTTTTTCTTCTTCATGGTTATATGAATTACAGAATGGATGTTCAACATGTTCATTCACAGTCGTAGCTTCCTCCTCATTATCATCAACAACATCTTCCTCGGCAGCGGCTATTTCATCATCAAAATTCGGGTATTGATCAATATTAAAATCATTACACGCAGGGTCTGTTTCTTCTTCTGAAACATCATCAAAATCCGAGTATTGACCAAGATCAAAGTCCGGGTATTGACCAAGATCAAATTTCGAATACCAACTAGTACTCACAATTTTTTCTGTTGGCTCATCATCGTCTAACTGGTTAATACGAAAACCGGAATTTGGTGCTGAAAGTTGATTGGGATTTGGATTAGGGAAAGGTTGTGGGTTTTGAGATTGTGTTTGGTATTGGAAATGTGGTGAAACAAAATTTGCTTGGTGATGAAATTGTGGTGGAACCATTAAATTTTGAGCACCATAAACTGGGGTTGAAAAACTTAGTTGATTACTACCCGCTACTGACCCAACTTCACTACTTCTAGGTTCAACAACATACAATGTAACATCATCTTGCGAAACACTAATGTAAGCAATGAATCGTTCAACATCTTCATTGTCGGTTAACAAATAAACTTTACCTTTTCTCTGATAAGATAGCCTAAATCCACTTAAGGGCTCTAAATTCAATTTATTTGCAATACGTAACATTAGAGTTTCATAAGTTAACTTTTTTAATGACAGTTTTAGTTGAAGATCCATGGGTAAAGGCATATATTGTAAAACACCATGAACATTCTCTCATGACCCTCCAAAACACAAATCTATCCAAACATGATCAACATTAGATGATTTCATTATTGTAAATTAATTTACTAAACAAACGAGCTGCGAAACTAAAACCTGTTGCCAGATGGGGAAGGATGTCGTTGGATATAAGAACGGATGTCGCCGGAGAGAGTGATAGATGGAGATGGAATGAGTTGCGATTTAGGGATTTAGGTTATGAGTTGCTTCTGCTGCGTAGTTATATACCCAAAACATTTGCGTTGTGAAACTAAAACCTGTTGCGAATTTGAAATTCAGTGTTGCGACAGTCAGAATCGCATTGCGATTTACATATTCGCATTGTAATTTACATATTCGCATTGCGATTTACATACTCGCATTGCGATTTACATATTCGCATTGTGATAGTCGGAAAATCGCAACGCGAATTTGGAAAATCGCAATGCGATAGTCAGAATCGCGTTACGAATCTGGAAACTGATTTGCGATACCGGAGATCGCGTTGCGAATTATCGATCGCATTGCGATTTAGTTGGTCATTTTGGCAAATCCAAAAAAAGTTGGTTAAAATCGTATATTATAAGGTATTTTTGGTCACTGAGGTTATTTTCTCTAACAGTTAACGTTCGATTTCATTGGTTAAAGGGTCATATCGTTTTTTTCTTAGTTTAAGGGTTATATTGAGTATAAAAGAAAGTTTAGGGGTTAAATTGACTTTTTTGTAAAAGTTTGAGGCTTCAAATATCATTAAATATAAAATTTGTTGTTAGAAGGATTTAAACTCGTATAAATTTTGTTAAAAACTAAAATCTGATATTTTAATATTTTTAAATTTCCAAAATAATTTGAATGAAAATACTAAAAACATGTTTTTTATGTTTTCTAATTTTATATCATTTTCAAATTTGATGTTTTCTAATTTCACTCATTTGAGATTATGAGATCAATATTATATGTTAATGTACAATTCAAATTGTTATCAATTTTTTAATAAAAAATATGAGTTTGAAACATAATAAATAATAAGGTAATTATTTTATAACTTTTAATAGTCGATAGAATCAGCAAAGCAACTCTTTATAATCTTAGAATTGTTTTGTAATTTTTAATGGTTGAGGATTCAGAAAAATAATATCTTATAATTGGAGTACTATTTGTTTACTTTTCCCATATTTTTTATGGCGCCAACACTATTTTGCCGGCTACTTTTCTTTGTTTCCCCCAGTAAATTTCTTTCTTCTCTCGTGTACTCGTTTGATGGGGAAAATGAATTTACTTGGAGTTTTGATGGAAACCATTGCATCACAGTCAATGGACACCATTAAAACAGGCCTTATTTGGCCTCTAAGAGCGGCATGGATAGCTGGGATTCTTCCCCTTCTCATCGCTTCACTGCCTTCTCCTCATCTCAATCCATTTCACGCCCTTCTACAAGCCTTTGCTTCATCCAATGTAAGGACCATTTTTCTTTTTGGATTTTATCATATTTTTTAAGAAATTCCCATCAAATTTCATTCTTTCTAACAATTTTTTTCATGGGGTTTTATGGCTAATGTAGAGGTTCACGGTTCCACAGAGTTTCTTTCTGCACTTTTATATGTTGGGTGTGGTTTGGACAACCACCTTGTTAATGAGCATTTGGTACTTTGCATACAAAGTTACATCTTTGGGTTCCGAGCCTTTGAGTCATGTTGCAGCTGTTAGTCACCTGACAGGCGGGTCACATGTTTTTTCCCTACACAAGTCTCGTTTTACCACGGCCGAAGATAGATTCAATGTTTGGAAGTCTGTGTTTTGTTGTTGTTGATGGAAATTCATGTACTGAGGCGGCTTTATGAGACCTTTCATGTCTTCAACTATAGCACTTCAGCTAGGATGCACACAACTGGTATCTAGTGAGTCGCTGAACACATTTGCTAAGTTTATGAATTGCCATCGATGAATTATTCAATTATTTGTTTGTTAGGAGAATGTTAAACCTAGTATAAGGAGAAGGCAAAGAAGAAGTTAGGATTTAATATGTTTCTGTTTTGCTTATTGATTTATTATGATACTTGGAAGAGTATTTGGAAGATTGACAATAAGATGATTCTTTTTCCCTTTTTTACTGAGCATGATCAGTTAACGCATGAGCTTGACTATTGATTGAAGTTGATTATCTTAAATGTCCTTGTAGTTTGTATTTAGTTCTGATTGTATGATGATTGTTTTGGCAGTTATTATACAGCAGCACCTCTGTCACTCTGTACAATTTGTGCACTAGAGGCTTTTAATTTTGCAGCTGATCAAGTAGCTGAATTTAAAGTTAAAGGTCAAGAAATGCTGTCAATTACAGATTTCGATTTGTGGGGTTATGTGAAGCCTATAACAAGGCTTGGATGGTGCCAATGGGCTGGTGCTGCTATATTTTCTTGGGGGTGGTTCCATCAATTTTGTTGTCATGCGATTCTTGTAGGTGTTTTCGCCTGTTAAACCTATATTCGCTTGTGGGTAATTCCAAATTTTTTGGAATGGAACAAAATGATGCTTGCTCTGAAACTTGTGCTCATCCGGATGCTGGTTTTCTGGTTTTGGTACAGAGATCACTTAGAGAACGTGGGGATCGAACTGAATATGTGATTCCACATGGAGATTGGTTTGAAATTGTCTCGAGTCCGCACTATTTAGTTGAGATGGTGATTTTCTTTCTCCCTTGTGGATGCTTGTGTATGCCATGGTTGTTGTCAAACAGACAAGTTATGATCATTATCTCCTTGCATCTGTACAGATAATATATGCCGGTCTATTGGTCGCTAGTGGAGGAACCGACATTACCATATGTCTACTTATTGGATTTGTGGTATTTTGTACCATCCTTATCTATTTTCCAGAACTATGCAGATTATAAACAATGTTCCCTGTAGCTGAATATTTTGTAACTCATGTTCGGCTGACTGTTTCAGGTAGCTAATCTTGCCTTTACTGAAGCAGAAACTCACCGGTGGTACCTTCAGAAGTTCGAGGACTATCCGCAAAACTGGTGGGCCATTGTTCCATATGTTTATTAGTTACGAGAGACAAGTTTCGAAGTATATTTAGTAAACCGGGTTAGCTCCTGCTGTGCTGTTGTCTGTAATCCCCTGTTTGACATCCCTATGTTGTGTGTGTTAAATGGAAAGTGGATTCTACCCATTTTCACAACCCAATGGAAAGAGAATTGTTGTTGGACATTATCATTGAACAGTGTATTGAAAACTTCTAGAAACGTTTCAATAATCAAATAAATAATGAAATTTGTCCAAGAGTTACCTATCTTTACTTTGTCCTATAAGTCTGTCTCGAACAAATATCTGAATCTGGTCCGGTCCGGTCCGGTCCGGCTTTTGAATACTCATATTGATTTACCTTGAAAAGAAAATTAGTGAGGCTCTCTCTCTTAGATAATGGCATTTGAGCCCATAAAATGGTCTTATTTGGCCCAAAATACGCCCATAGAAATTTAGCCAAAATCGAGACTCCTTTAATGGTATTGGTTACGGCACTATTACGTTCACGAGGGTCCACTGAGAAATTTCGTGGTTGTCTCTACTCTGATCTGGAAAGAAATCGACCGATCACATAGTTCCCAAATCTGTTCAAATCGTCGGGGAAATTGTTGAGAAACTGAAAGTCTAAGATGGCTTCCACATTCAGCGGCGATGAAACTGCTCCTTTCTTTGGCTTCCTCGGCGCCGCTGCGGCCCTCGTTTTCTCCTGTAAAAAGCCCCAACCCAAATGTTAAATTTTCGGTTCTTCATGGTTCTGGTTTCCCCAACCAAGTGATTTGTTTTTTTTTCAGGTATGGGAGCTGCGTATGGGACGGCCAAGAGCGGTGTAGGTGTGGCGTCGATGGGAGTGATGAGGCCGGAGCTGGTTATGAAATCAATCGTCCCCGTTGTTATGGCCGGTGTTTTGGGTATTTATGGGTTGATTATTGCGGTTATTATTAGCACTGGGATTAACCCGAAGGCCAAATCTTACTACCTTTTCGATGGCTACGCTCATCTTTCCTCTGGTCTTGCTTGTGGCCTCGCTGGTCTCTCAGCCGGCATGGCTATTGGAATCGTCGGCGATGCTGGTGTTAGGTATTGTCATCTAATTTGCTTTCGCTGTTTTGCATTTCAGCTCTTTAGAACTGAAATGTTGTTTGCTCGAATCAAATTTCATTTGCTGCATAGATTTTTTCGAAGCAGTGAAAAAGTAATTGTGTAATAACTGTGATCGTATGATTGACCTTGCACTCACATTCACCAATTCTGATAAAACTATAGTGGTAAACTTCTTCTTGTTGAGTGAATTCAAACCTGGATCTGCTGGAATTTGACTTGGTTCACAAAATGTAATTTATTTTGATTTATGCAATGTATGTGGAAGTTACAAAGATGAAAACTTTGAAAGATAGCATTTTTATTTTCTTTTAAAATCTTGCTGATGCTTTGCAGAGAAGCTAAGAATTGTTGCCGATGAATATAGAATATAGATCGTCATAATTATTACAAAGCTGAGAATTCCTCGGTTTTGAGATTCATTGCAATTGTGAGAATATGCTTGATTGATATAGTTTTTTCTATGCATTTATTTGCAGAGCCAATGCTCAACAGCCAAAGCTTTTTGTTGGAATGATTCTTATCCTCATTTTTGCCGAGGCTTTGGCTCTGTATGGACTCATCGTCGGTATCATCCTCTCTTCTCGTGCTGGTCAATCCCGAGCAGAGTAGAGTGCAAGATTCTGAAACTTGGGATGTTGCTAGTTGCCATTAGTTGGTTGTTTTGCATCCGATTCTTGTCACTAGCATGCAGTATGAAACATTGGTGAAGTTATTCTGAACTCGTTCATGGATCTTATTTAAGCGTTCTATGTTGTTTGTATGATTAGAAGATAGATTTAATTCAAAATAGATCATGTTTTGCATTGCTTTTCTTATCTATTTCTGGAATCTAGTGTAAGTTCAATGTACTGAAAAGACCATTTTTATGATACTTGATCTCAGTTCTGTCTCTGTTCATCTTTCTTTTGGTATTGAAATGATGAAGTTCTACTATCAGCTTCCCCACTTCACCATTTTTATTTCTTAATGCGGAGACCGTTGTATGGTCATTGTTAAGCTTATTAGGGTTGTATATGGATTCAATTTTAGGCTTAATTATGAGCTTCATCATTTTACTTTGTGAAAAACAAAAAGTTAGTCGTTTGTTAATTATGAGCTTTAATTAACAATGCTCTATAATATATAAATTGATTGAAATGTACATCCATATACCAAGGAAAATTATTTAACAAAAATGAGAACTACATACAAGTAAAATGTATTTTACTTTTTAGTTTTATATTGTATAATTGGATCTTACCTCTTTGTTGGTTAAAATTCATTTACACGATGTAAAAAACTTTTAGTTTTACACTGAATTAGGATTTTACCTCTTTGATTTGATTTAAGTAATAAAACTGATCCTTGACGTTGGTTTAACCGATTTACAAACTCTTCCATTGCACTAAAATCAGGAAACAGAAACTTTCAAAAACAAAGGAAATATGTGTGGATGAAATCAAACAACTATCATGTATATATATAATTAACACCTATAACATAGACAATACACTGCGTTTCAAAGTATTATGTCTCATGGGTGTGTGTTGTCCCAGTGTAAAGTTAAGACCAAACATTTCCTTGAACGTCTTCTCTGGATTTTCAAAACCAGCCAGCTTTGCAACAATGGCAGCACTCTCAGCAATGTGTTCCATGTCATTGCAGTCACTCCACAAGAGGTTAACCAACTTCAACCTCCTTTGTTTCGCGTTCAACTCAATTCCCCATTTACGAAAGAGATTCTCTATTTCAACCTTGGAGAGCTTCTTGCTTATCCTCTGGCACAACTTTTGCCTCTCCCGACGTAGAGCCTTCTCACTGTTTGCAAAGTTCAAAACATCAGTGGCTTCTAGGTTGATGTAATAAGCATATAAACATACACATATATATATACCTAGAAGCGCGAGTAAGGACTCGACCGTTTTCGACCATTTTATGGCCATCGGTGAACGTGTTCTTCATGAAGGACAGCCTCCTATGTTCCACCTCCATGTATATATAATCTTTTGGATCTCCCTTGAATAGCAGGAAGAAGTAAGTCCTATGGACCAGTGACACATTGCAGTCACGCCAGAGTTCAATTATCTCTTTTTGAAGCCTCTTAAATTCTGAAGGCCACGCTGAAGAGCTTCCATAAGTCTCTGGTGTTGCGTTCGTCACCTGTACTGGTCATGCATGAACATGTTTTTACACGAACTTTCGTAGTAAAGTATACCCTTTATAATATAATCAGGATAAAAAGAAATCAAACACTCACCGGTGAATCACCATGTTGGTTATCGTACTTGTGATTACTAGACATTTCTTCAGTTCCTCTTGTTGAGGTATGGAAATCGGTACTAATCTGATTCCCTGGGGTTGGGACTCTAACACTCCAACCAGCGGCACTTGTAAAAGAACTTTGAGATTCAAGTGGTGATTTCACGGCATTAAGCTCATTAACAGTAGCACTCGTTGAAGAATTTGGAGATTCATTTCTAATAAACTCCTCCGCCTCGCCCTGGTGATCAAACTTCAATGCAGAAGATTTTCTGTGGAAATTGTATGGTCTTTCAGTGAAATCTTTTGCATTTTGCACGGGAGATGTGCCATCATTCTCTTCTGCCTTCTCAATCCACTGAGAAACAGTCATCAGACTCGCTTTACAACTTCTACTCCTAGTAAATCTCAAGCTTCTACAGCCATAGGGTTCATGTTTCAGCTGACATAAATATGCTTTTTCAGGAGGTTCAAAAACCATATTTTTATTTAAATCAGATGACTTGGATTCTTGCTTTGATATATCTTCATTGTCAACTTCTATCACTCCTGAAATAGTTGTGTTTTCCCCAGGGGATGAGCCATCGTGATGAATCTTTGGGCGAGACTCTGAAAAACTTGAGTCCAAATATCTGTTCATACTCGAATTCGGGTCAATGCAACGAACTTCCTTGCACGGTGTCTCTGAATTTTCATAGTTATTCTCCTCCTGGCGAAGAGTACTTCCGACAAAAACAGAAAATCTCGGTGACAGCTGCGGGGAGGAGGCACTTGGACGTGGTATAGTCAATTTGAAGTCGGGAAGCTGAAGGAAGTTCTCTTCAGAGGTGAAACTTTGTATATCTGAAGGACAGCGGGATCTAACTCCAACAGACAAAACCGGTCTCACAATGATTGAATTTGCAGAGTCCAGTGAATCTCTATCTCGCACTCGCAGTTTGGGGTACTGAGAATCTGAACTTACCTGGTGAATGAGGACATGCAGGAATTAAACTTTGGATGGTGAAGTGAACTTAAAAGATGCATCAAATGCTTTAGTAATATATGCATATATACATACTTTCACTAGTTTTTCAGCTCCAGGACTTTCATTGTTAGCCGTTTGTCGTATCCCCTCAACCACAGACCAAGCAAGGTCTCTTTGCTGAATCAGAATGGCTACCTCTTTCTTTAGCTGCATGAAGCATGGAGGAAAATCAAAACAATAATTCATGGATTAAATCCAAAGATGTATTCACTATACCTATATCATCACCTTTTCAATTTCGAGGTCTTTCTCTCGCAGCAACGCATCAGAAATCGAGGAAGTTGGCCTTGTTCTTGCAATTCTCAACTCATTCTCTAATCTAGCCATTTCTCTTTGCATTTGCTTAACTAATGCTTTATCAGACAGCACCAAATTAACTTGACCATTGGTAATCACTTCTTTAGCACAACTTGCAAATAAGAGGGTGTTTCTTGATTGTTCGACATGCGACTGTGCCGGACTCATGGTACAAATTATAGCAGTTCTAGCATTGCCTCCGAGGGAAGACTGAAGTATCCGGGTCAGCTTCGAATCTCTGTAAGGAATGTGTCCATTTTTTCCCTTGCTGCAACCAAGTACAAATTTATACCAAGATACATTAGATGATTCATGAAGTGCTACAAACATTTAGTAGTAATCTGATGAAACAACTGACCTCAGCTTACGTATAACAGTTCCAAGCGTTAGTAAACTGCGATTTATATGGCAACCTTCTTTCAACCTAGCACAGGCTGATGATGTCTGAGATGCACGTTCGCTTCCTGCAAGATCAACAAAGTTCTAGACAAAACAGAGTGAAAATGTCAGTTGCTTTCAAATATTGGTTAATCAATCAAATCTTGACCGAAACAGATATATGTTGTTTCATACCACTGAGGCCACGAGGGTGCTTGATTTGTCATTGCCTAAAAACTCTCGTGCAGAACTTTCGACCGTCTGATGAAAGGAAAATAGACAGATGATATGAAAATAAATTTCACATCATTGTTAAGTGAATAATATCTAAAAGTTTAGCAATGGAACACAAAACATACCACTCTCAAAATCTGATGGGATCTAGAGCTTGTCTCATTGAGAGAGGTCTCCCCTATTTGTCTTTGAGCTGCCAATGTCACCAAGGCATGCTTAAATATGCAGTCAATGGCAAGTGAAAGGAAGACTTGTTGACATAATCTTACCTTCACAAATAGATAAAAGCTCCTTAAAGTGATTCCAGTCCCGCAGAGTTTCTTCTGTGAGTTTAACGACAACCGTTCCCCTCTATCGAAATAGATATCTGTTAGTAAGATAAGTCCATAAAACTCGGTTCCTCATAAACATAGGTGATAGGACTGGACTCACTTCGTGGTCATCTCGAAGCTGAAGGGGAGAACCCTCTAAACTAAGGAGGTCCCTGACTGATTCATTGTAGATCTCCATAGCAGAGAACTTCAAGATAAACTCTCTTTCCTTGTGCTACAAAAAAGTAGTTGTGGTTTTTGTCAAAGAAGGAAATACAACGGAAAAGTATAACCACAAAGGGAGCAACAAAAACCATTGTATGTCTTCATTACCCTCTGTATGTAATCATATATATCTGCCATGGCATACTCCGTAATTCCAGTCATCGTATAAGTTTTTCCGCTGCTCGTTTGCCCGTAAGCAAAAATAGTAGCTGAAACATAGTTTATGAATTGACAGTTGAAATTAGGAAGTTGTTTATGGAGTCACAAAAGAGCCTTGGGAGTATCCAAAAAGATAGGAAAGAGATGTAACTCACAGTTTATGCCCCTGACAACTGAAAGGGCAATTTCCTTAGCTCCTTCTTCATACACTCGCCTATTGGGACATTTAGAGCTAAAAACCCTGTCTAAAAATCACCAAGGAGACTCATGATTCCAGAAGAAACCACTGGTGTCAACTCCATACATGACAACATGCTTTAATTATACTATCTCTATAAGGCATTGCATTAGAGGCCAGAAACCTAAAAGTGGCTATAAGATCATCATGGTGGACCGGTAGTATGTAACAAAATGTATATCGGTAAAGTAATTTCGCACTCCGGCTATGGAAACGGGTTTGAAGGAAAAATATTTCTATCATCTTAGGGCCTATTCAAAGGTTTCTGCAGTAAAATTTTCTATCATACAGCAATTGACATTAACATTATCCAGAATTTTGTTTCAAATACTAAGACTTCATTAGTCATTTCCAGAAATCGAGAGGCAATTTCAAAACTTTGGTAAGGATATAAACTAAGGGGAAAGCAATCAAATTTAGATAAACTGGATATCTAAAAGTCTAAGCACTTACCAAATGTATAGGAAGTCGGGTACATGGATTTCTCGGAAACCGAAAGGCCGTTCCTGTATATGATAGTGTTATCACTGATGCATTCCCAGTCAGAAACATCATGCCTATCAATCTCCTTGTCGTTGAGAGGCCGCAATCGAACCGAAACAAAAATTCTCTCCTCACAACCTGTTGGCTCCTGCACTTCCTCCTCTCTACCATCCACTACCACCATCTTTCAGCTTCCCTCTTCCAAAAAAAAAGCTAATGAAAACTATACCATGAATAGAAAATTCAATTCAACGAAGCTGTGGCCTATTCACCTTAGCTTCCTACCACCTATATGCTTCTCTATTCAATCAAGGGGATCGGTATTCAAATGGTCAGACAATGAAGTCTCGTTGGGCTCCTATAAAAACACCCAACTTTTAGACATTTGCAATCAACAAGTAATCACGGGTTAGTGCTAAATTCACTCAAAATTTTGTTCTTTATTCATATATTTCAAAGCCAGATTCTCATGTTACAATATTTCTTCACAGGAAAAAGAAATGGAAGTTTTTGAGAATCAAGATGTTTCCAATTTTACCTTGGGATTGAAGATTTGAATACACCTTGCATTCCCTTTTTTCCAAGGAAATGTTTGGTTTTTCCCCCAGCTTTACATTTGGGACAACAACAATCACCCTGGTTTTTTCTTCTTCTCTCTTATTATATGTGTTCCAGTTTTGTCTATATTTAGACCTGGAAAAAACCAACAAAATCCCAATAATAACTTGTCCCAAATTCCAATTCCCAAATATAGACACCCACATGAAAGAAAATCAAATATCCTTTCCGCAATTGTAGAATTACAATACTTTTGTTTTTTGTGCCATATTTTTACCACAATCATTACATCAACACTAAACTTCAAATTCTTCAGCTTTGGTAACCTCAAAGTTGAAATCTTTCCAGGGTGTATTTTCATGCATATAATGGAAGTGAGATATTGAAGTGGTTATAGTGTCTGCTTCTTTTGTTTAATTGTTAGTTTATTTTTTCAGAGCTTCTCTTTGAAAAAAAATAACTAGCTTTTGAATTAAAACAAAAAATGGAGAAGCTTTTTGATAACAGAGATTGAAAAGAGGCCCCTGCATGTGCATGAAAATTTTGTTTATAAATAATCTATGGTTTATTTGAATATATAAGATGGCCATGCAAAGACCTGATTTGAAGTTTTGTCCAATACTTGGGAATCTGTATTATGAAGAGGGGGTCTTCAAGCTAGAATACTGAAAAACTAAGCTTATTCTTATGATTCCCAGGATGTGATCTTTGTTATAGCTGAAGTACAAAGAACTAGGATACACACGATAAATAGAAGATGTATCATTAAACAATCGAGTAGGGATCGAGTATATCTATCAGTTGTTGCCATTAATAAGCATAAAAATAGGGGCCCCGAAATCCAGTATATCTATCAGTTGTTGCCATTAAGAATCATAAAAATAGGGGCTCCGAAATCGAGTATATCTATCAGTTGTTGCCATTAAGAAGCATAAAAATAGGAGGCCCGAAATCGAATATATCTAGAAAATAGGGCCCCTTTATAAGAATTTGCACAGGACCCCCAACAACCTAGCCACGACCCTGTCTAAAATGATTACAAGATAATATATGTTCAAAAAAAAATTAATTATTGATAATGCACACACATGTCTTGTGAAACTAACAATTTTTTTTATTTCAGAGGCCACTCAATGAATTCTGAGTAGGCCATATTGGTTTCGAAGATTGGTACAAACCACTGTTTTGCTTTCAAAAGAGTTTCGTCCAACAAGGCCTCAACTATTTGATTTCAAGCTAGTGGACAAATAGTGGGATGACAATGGAGCCTGAACTTCATACTACTAAATGTATTGTTTATAGATTGGGTTCATGAATAGTATTAATATGTTGGGGGTAAACTACCTTGCTGTGGGTCACTAAATTATTGAAGTTGTTTTGTTTTGATCAGTGAACCATGAATTTTGTCAATTAAATCACTAAATTTTAAAATGATTTCAATCACGCCACTGACTATTAACAGAATTGTCTACGTAATAGTTAAATAAATTTGTATAGTTACACATTTTTGTTCATTACTTATACATTCTATTAATCTAGTCATAATTTCATTAAAAATATTTTTTAAAATAGTTTTAATAAGATAATGGCACGCATCACAATCTTATTAGAGAGATTAAATGAAATAGAATAGGATGGAAACCAGTCAGGGTACTGGAGGAGGTTTAGGTGCACCTTAACTAATCTTAATTGATGCTTAGAAAAATATGAAATAGAAAATAGAATGAGGGAATCAAACTTGGAATTGGAGGTAGTCGGCAACCCACGTATGTTTTCAGTGGCGGATATATGTGTACGTGTTCACCCTGAAATCTGAATTTTTTTATATTAATTGTTCATTTTACTAATAGTGTCCACTCTGAAATTTTATTTGTGACTACCATGTACAAAAAATTTCTATTATTAATACATGTGTGTCTACCTTGAAAAATATTTTTGGATCTACCACTACAAATTAGTTAACCCTATTCCATATGAAATAGGGTAAGGGGGAGGTAGGGTAGTAGGATGCCCCTAACGCCAGGTTGAGAGCAGCTTCTGTGGAAGACCTTCGTTATGAATTGCCCTCAGTGGGACTCGATCCCACGACCACAAGGTTAACAAGCTTGCGCTAACGCCGGACATTATATCGATTATCCTGTAGGCTGGTTCCAACAGATGATTTACAAGAGAAAATTCACCCAAAACCAGAGAAAACAAGTCTCTAGGGTTTAACGAAATATTATAAAATCAAACAATGCAAAAATCAGTCCACAAGCCGGACTGTTATAGCCAAAAATCATGTTTATCCGAAAATCACTCTAAATTGAAATTCGAAATAAAATAAACAATATGCAAAAAATCCGGCTCAAATCGGATTTAAATTGACTTCCTAACTGACAAGCAAAATATTACCATAAATATTAAAAAAATAAATAAAACTAGTGATTCGGAGGGAAAATAGTAGAATTTGAGGTCGAAAAAAAGGCCACATGGAGCTATACTCAATGTGGACAGCATGCGTCGAAATGGGCTTTCCGAATTGGGGTCTTATGCGCTATTCCGACACTTATAGCCAAAGTTATGGCCAAAAGACTGAAACGCACTCAAAACGGCCCCAATGAGGAACATATCACAATCAACTCTCGCCTTTGCGATGATCTGCCAACTCATGGTATCTCAGCGCCATCAAGGTACAATCTGACAGCTCAGTATTATTTGTCTCGGATCCGCCTACATCAGTCAACCAAAATGTAATTACTTGAATCCACAAGACCACAACCACTAGAAAATAATATTTCATTTATCACCACTCAAGGCTTTATTTATAGGATAATGGACCTTTGAACTTAGACTGGTACACAGTCCAGCCCATTATCTTTTCTAGTAATGATATTATTAGCATTGCCAGAAAAATAGTATATTTATCAGCAACCATGTCAAGCCATCACGACGCATGCATGGGCAATTACGTAGAAAAAAAAAATCTCGAAATGATCCAAAGAAGGATCTGTCAAGTGTCAAACTTGTGTTGTCGTTTGAGTGAGACGTCAAGGAAACATCAAAGAAATTTCCCAGTTTTTTTTGGAACTTTGGCACTTTCTGTCTTTAGGATACCTCGAAGGGCTAAAAGGGCTCTGTTTTTACTTGATGTTTGTTTGATTATATAGCTTTCGAAATCACCGTTTTTGGGGTAACCACTGAATCATATAGTTATATTCAACATGAACATATTTTATTCGAAGGGTTTAGGCAACAAGCTAAAGCTGTCAACTTTGTTTCTTCTTGTAACTTGTTTCATGGCTCTCATGGTTCGAGAAGAAAGCACTTTTAAAGCAGTATGCATCTGATTGGGAGCATGAGAATTTGCTAGGAAAGTTCCTTATAATTACTTGAATTTCAATTCAGGAAATTAGGTGCTTCCCCAAATATTCTGCTTTATAAGAGGATCCCAAGGCAGTAACCTAGTCATGCAAAGTGTTTGCTGAGAAAACCAAGTGTAAAAGAGTGAAAAATACATGATGGAGATTGAGGAAGTAAACAACTACGAGGCATTGCCGCTTCTCTCTTTGAATCATGTATCATTGTTGTGTCGATCGGTTTCCGAATCGGCGAGGTTCTACGAAGAAGTCTTGGGATTTGTTCTCATCAAACGCCCCTCTTCTTTCAAGTTCAATGGAGCTTGGTAAGCTTGTTGTTTTAAACTGAAAATCCTGTTTTTAATGGAACAGGATGTTAAATGACTGGTCTCCTTTATTTCTTGCAGGTTGTACAATTATGGCATTGGGATACACTTAATTGAAAATCCATCAATCGATGAATTCGATGCAATTGTCGAACCCCGGACAATTAATCCCAAGGACAATCACATATCCTTCCAGGTATAATATATGAATTCGAATCAAATCTATCAGAAACCAATACTGCTGCACAGCTTTTGGTTATAACAAGTTCTTTGTTCTGTGATGACAGTGTATCGATGTTGGCCTTGTCAAGGGGAGACTTAAAGGCATGGGAATGAAGTATGTCACCGCAGTGGTCGAAGACGAAAGGAACAGAGTCGAACAGGTGTTCTTCCATGACCCGGATGGGTACATGATTGAGCTCTGCAACTGCGAGAACATCCCAATCATTCCCCTTGCTTCTTGCTCATTCAAGCCGAGGCTACGCAATGTCATCAAGGCCGAACCGGCTAAATGCGGATTCATGGAAAACGCAATGATGGAGAGCTTGAGCATGGAGATGCTGAACATTGCATTTTGAAGTGCACCCAAGTTTAAAACAAGAAAATGATGAACTCCACTTTATTTTTCCAGCTATTGTATGCTGAAATTGTTTTCTACAGGTCTTATAATGGTGTCTATTTGGTTTCATGAAGAAATTGTATTATTTAAGGTTGAGAGATTAATCAAGTTGTAATCCCAATGTAATACATACATATGTTGATTTATCTGGTTCAATCAAGGACTATATTCCCCTCTAGATTAATTTTTTTGCTTAGTTGTTTAAACTCAGAAGCCTGTGATTTTTCATTAGCCCCACCTTGTATGATTGTATTATAAATAATACTTGATTGGACTTGACATTCATTGCCCTTCGTCCATTTGTTGTAGGAAGATGTGCTTGCCTTTGCTTGAAGTAATGGGGTCTTTTATATTTTTGGATTTTTCTTGTTGTTTTTACTTGTTGTTTTTAAGGTAGATACATGATGGAAGAAAAAAAAATGTGGTGATGGTCAATTTATTTGATAAAGGTTAGGTAATTATCATGTTGAATGTGAATTCATAATATAAACACTTATATCATATAATGTAGGTCTAAATCATCCATTACCCCACCAACGCTAACATCATTGTGATTGAGAAAGATCATACATATGATTAAAATAAAAAAAGAATCTCAATTGCTAACACATTTAAATTAAAATAAAGGGAATTATTGGTGTTCCAAATGATGGTTCTTGGCCACCTATAATCTTTACATTACTTTGTTGAACCTCATCCTAATCCACCATAACCAATCAATCATAGCAAGGACCAAGACACTGTATATCATTATTAATTCAACATGTTGATTATCTTCCCAGGTCTTGAAGCTAGATTTTAAACACAGAAAAACATTTATGAACTTGGGTAAGTGGTATTTGTTCACTATTGAAGGTAATTTAAGACATTTAAGGAATCTAATTTCCCTTTTTTTTCATTGAAGATGTAGATTATTAACCGCAGGAGATGAAAATAGAGCAGTTGGATTGGTACAACAACCATCCTGCAAAAAAGATATCTAATTTCCCATGGTTTTGTCATGTAGAAAGAGAAAACAGGGGAGTTAAGTACAACAACCATGGGGAACAGAACAGTATGAGAAGATATCAGCTGCCACTTTAATAACAGGGGAGTAGATTGTGGACCAAATTAGGTGCAAATTAAAGAGAGAAGATGCTTTATGTATGGCCAGGCTTTCAGCAAAAAAAAAAAAAAAAACGGGGTCCATGGTAGATATTTGACTGGTGGGCAAGATTAATGGGAAGAGAGGTTCTCAGCCCCACAAGCGAGTCTCTTTGAAAAACTTGTGGTGGAAATCAAGTGATCAAATTACCAAATGAATTAAACCAAAGTTGACAAATCTACTCTCTAGAGTCCAACCCTCTCTCTCGGCTCTCGCTCTTCAATTCATTTTTGTTGCCTGCTTATTAAATCCCACATCTTTCTCCATCCTTCTCCAATATCTTGTTATAATATTATATATATGAAAAAAACATCATCTTGTTATCCTTTTTTCTTCCCAATTATAATCAATCATCATCTTTATCATTCCCCGCAAAACACCAACAAAAACAACAGCTGCTTGCTGGTTTTGATTGGGAGAGGATGAGAGTGAGAGAGCATTATGCGAATCCTTTGTGACGCTTGTGAAAGTGCCCCTGCTATTGTCTTCTGTGCTGCCGATGAGGCTGCTCTTTGCCGTGCCTGTGATGAAAAGGTCGGTTCTTTCCTCGTGTTACTAGTAAACACTTCGGGTTGTGTTTTCTTTTGCTGTTAACTGGAACCCATGTGTGATTTTCGTTTGTCTATTGTTCTTCTTTGTGGGAAGCACGGTTTTTTCTTAATTGTTTTCTTGCTAGTGCTATTGTTTTACTTGATATAATAAAAGATCCTTTGTTCTTCAAGATTGATTTTAGGGGGTCTCTTCTGTGCCACTGCTGGATTTTTCTATAAATTCTCAGCTGGGGTTCCATGATTTGTTGAATAGTCCTAGTAAAGGGAATACTTTTCAGTCTTTTTTGTTTCTTCTCAATAATTTCCTGTGCATTGCTATCGGAAAAGATCCTTCTTCGAACCGGTTTACATTGTTCTAGATTGTTCTGGAAAATGGAAGCTCTGCTTTGAACTGTTGATGAATGTTTCAGGTCCATATGTGCAATAAGCTTGCTAACCGCCATGTCCGGGTGGGTCTAGCAAATCCCAGTGATGTTCCTCGCTGTGATATATGTGAAAATGCTCCTGGTATGCAGGTGTTATTTTTTGTCATTTACTTTTCCATTATAAAGCTTTTGGTTTATAAGCAGATCTGTATAAGTTTTGTTAAAACTCATGTTCATCCCTTGGAATTATGTAGCTTTCTTTTACTGCGAGATAGATGGAAGTTCCCTTTGTTTGCAATGTGATATGATTGTACACGTTGGAGGTAAAAAAACCCATGGAAGAAATCTTCTATTAAGGCAGAGAGTAGAGGTCTGTCGCTATCTTTCACTGGAATTGAGTCATGTATTACATTTCTTCAGGAGTATAAGTTTTCCCTTTGGGTTGTTTCTTCTGCAGTTTCCGGGGGATACACCGGTGGATCCGAGTGAGAACTGGAGAGGCCAAACTCAGCCGGCTAAACCAACAGTAGGAGAGAACCAACAGAATCACAAGGTCTCTCCTGCACAAGTGATGGGTGCTAAAAATCTCAAGCATGATACTAAAATGATTGATTTGAATATGAAGCCTCATCGAATGCATGGGCAAGCCTCGAACAATCGGGTTGGAACTATTTTCATTGGTTCTCCTTTTTCTTTCTCGCAACATTTGAAACTCATGCTCTTGTTCTTTCAACATCCAATAATGGAGAGACATTAGGTACATGTCTTGTTAGGAAGCTCCTCGAAGTTTCATTTTGCATCTGCAATAATCACGCCATTGTTTTGATGCATGAAAAAGACATAAACCTATACAATGATTTACTTCTTTTTTTGATAAAGTATTTTGTTTATACATCCAAAAAAGAAGAATGATCTCCTTTTCTGCCATATAATAGATGCATGTGTTCCGAGCACTCCGCTATTGTACAACACTCGAAGCTTTCCTTCTAAGTTAATGCACAGCCCATCTGACCTTATTTCACTGGCGGTGCATTTGTTTGATTTAAGTTCATTTTGTTGACATGTTACATTTTTCTCTTGATTTTCAAGTTAAACCTGAGATTACATCGAGGAATGGTACATTCTGAAATTCACAGTGATACGAATACCTCATGATATAGGTTTACCTACATGGAACAAGGATGTTCAGGATAAAATCTATACTCTAAACTCTAAACTCTAAACATTAGATTGTTCTTAAGCTCACATATTGACCCTCGATACCTGTTTTGATGTCTGAAGGAACTATAATTTGATATTCTCAGCGGAGGTGGTGATGATCGTTGATCAGGATTCGCGGTTTCGACTTGTTAACTTTTATTTAGAAGCCTGAGCTTGGGGGAGTTCTCGTCGATCAATCTATCATCTCCACCTCAATCTCCTTAGCTTAGTTGTTTACACCAGTTTCCAGACAGCTTCCGAGGGTCATACTGCAAGGCAAAAGAATGTAATCTGCATCCAGTGCCAAGAAATAATCTGTAATATGTCATTCTTTTGTAAGGTTTGTTTGTAATGGTTGAAATTGCATTGTGAAAACACTACTTGTTGTATGACTTTCTCAAATAACTTGGAAATAATAGATAATGCTTGAGATTAATGCTTAAATAGTAAATGTTATACACCCAGATAGTCAGAGATTCACCTTTTATCACACAGATGACACGAAAATACCGGTTTTTTTAAATATGACTCGAAGAGCTTCCTCATTTCAGGTAATTTCTCAGAACAGTACAGTTGAACTTTAAGTGATTGCCGGAACTTAGTCAGTTATCTCATCTTTTATCCTCTTCATGTTTAGTGATACGGGTTTCAATAGATATTAAATATTCGAAAACAATAAACTTATATAAAGTGTCGTTCTGGGAATTAGAATGTTCACTGCAGGGAATTTATAAAGCTGTTGATGATGCTTGATATTGTTATCAACAAATATATGATCCATTAGCTATGAGGATAACAGCAAAGATCTTCATAACTCATACATGATTTATAATTTTATCATCGCTTGTCTTCTGTGGATTTGATTCAAGACAACCTAGTAAACATAACCCTTGACAAACATTCCTTGCTTGGCCTCCTCGGACTCTCCTTCACCTGTGTACTTGCCAAGTTGCGCGAGGGAGTTGGCCTTTGCCCGAACAAGCAGCGTGTCCTGAGCCGCCTTCATGTTCTCATGTCTGCCGCCCCACGTCTTCAGGCAAGTATTTTGAAGGGCTCTTGCGTATGAGAATGACACATGCCATGGATTTGGTGCTTGGTTCATAGCATTCAAGTTCAAGGTAGCCTCAACTTCAGACTGCCCACCAGACAAAAACTGCCAAAACCATGTCCGATTAGCCATTAGCTGATGAGTTTCGTCTAAGCATGTGCAAAAAAACTTGCAGTTTTATAGCCAATTACCATGATTCCAGGCACAGCTGGAGGGATTCTTTGGCGGAGGAGGCTGAGGGTGTAGCTATCAACCTGTTCAGGAGTAGCCCTGTCCTTGCACTCTGCACCAGGAGTGACCATGCTTGGCTTGAGGAGGATACCTTCAAACAATACATTGTTCTGGGAAAGATAGAAGAAAACCTCAGCCCACACCTTTTTGGCTACTTCAAAAGTCCTGTCGATTCCATGATCACCATCAAGCAAGATCTCTGGCTCAACAATTGGAACCAGGCCATTGTCCTGCACAGCAAAAAACATCAAAACATCATCCAATGCCACAATATAATCAAGACAGTCTTGTAATAAGATTCCACTCTATATTCTAACCTGAGAGACGGCAGCATAGCGAGCAAGTCCCCAAGCTGCTTCCTTCACAGCAAGTTCAGATGGTCCATTAGGAATGCTTACCACAGTACGCCTAGCAATATTGATAGTAACATAAACACTACAAAAAGCAACTTAAGATGTTCAAACACGAAGTGGAACATGAGATAAAGTTTTACCATTTTGCAAAACGAGCTCCCTGTTGGTAGTATGCAGCAGAACGAGAGGCAAGGCCGTCTAGACCTTGGCACCATGACTCGTTGTTTGAGCCAGCCAGTGGAACAAGACCCTGCAGTATTCATAATATCGAGCTCTTACTAATAGATTCTACTTAGCACTAAATTTGAACTACATAGTCGACATTCCTCCCGCAAATGGGAGAGGAGACTTTACCTTGTCAACCTTGATACCGGGGACTATGTTCTGCTCAACGAGGACATCGACCATCTTCTTGCCATTGACCGTGGATTGGTAGAGGGTTTCCTCAAAGAGGATGGCACCAGAGATGTACTGCCCAAGTCCTGGAGCTGAAACAAGTAATGTCCTATAGGCTTGACGGTTAGCCTCTGTGTTCTCTAGCCCAATTGAGGCCAAACGCTTCCCACAGGTAGCGTTGGACTCATCCATGGACACGCCCTGGAGAAGCAATAGTTTTCTACAAACATCCCAACAATCCCATATTAGTAAAATCATCATTTCTTCCGAAATTTTCAGTTTCTGATTGTTAAAAGCTTATAATACCATTTGTTTTCCTCTTTAGGTCATTATAGCGTTGGCATATTTATGCAAATTGTGGAAGAGAACAATTATATAACACTTACTGCAGTCTTGACAAGCTCATCGGCATATGAGCTAGCACGCACGTTGAGTCCAGAGGGAGCAACAGGGTGATTCCTAACCACAGAAACTGAAGGTTGGCGAAGGGTCTGACCCTTAACCCACTCGGACTTGTCTACAACAGGTGAAGGCTTGAGGAGAGAAGCAGAAGCCATTTTGTGTTGTTAAAGATGGTTCTCTTTATTTCTCCACTTAAGCTCTTTTGTTTTGGCTCTAATTCTCCAATTTATAGTTCCTAGTCCCAGGCAAGTTGATTTGGCAGAGGAGTGGCTGAAATGAGACTGAATTTTCTCAAATTTGTAAACCAGAAAAAAAGAAAAGGAATTTGTGCTACAACCCTCATCTTTTTGGAGGTGATTAATTGATTTTTGTTTTTGTCCCTGTTTTTTCTTTTTCTTTTCTTGGCCTTTTGCTAGTTGGGGGAAAATCAGGCTAAAGGCAAGACAAGACGCAAATATCAATTTAGGAATAATTTCTCTTTATTTTACTTTTTAAATAAAGTTAACTTCTTCACTGAAAACAAAGTTTAAGTAACGGTGAACATCACTACATGACAATTAACACCAAAACCCAAAATATGAGCAAGAGGTAGCCTAGATCCTAAAGACAATATGCAGATATTTCAAACAAGGGCATTGGCAACTGGCAAGTGGCCACTGATTCCGCACCCTAAAGACAATATGCGGATGTTTCAATCACAGGCATTGGCAAGTGACCACTAATTCCGCACCCTAAAGACAATGTGCAGATATTTCAAACAAGGGCGGTCAGTTCTCAATCAATTCTGCGGCAACGGAAAATGAAAGAGGTAAAAAGATCAGTGTTTGCTTCACTGGCCACCTCAAGTTGCAAAATGAGCTCATGACCCAACCATTCTCTTAACTTGTAACGTAAATGATCCCATAATCAAAAGATCTAGCAACTACAGGCCCATGCCCAGCTAAATAAACAATAAATGTTCACACACCATAGATTCTAGTGGAGAAAATCTCATTCAAAAGACATACTGTGAAGAAAAATTATCAAATGTCTTGATAACAAAGTCGGGTGGTTCAGATTAAGCATGTCAAAAACAAATTTTCTTTGTGGGCGTTGAATAACATTCTGCAGTTTATAGAAATCAAGTTGTAAACTTGATGCAGTTACTAGATGGCATCCTTTTATAAAAACATGGCCTTAAATGATTCAGTATCCTCTTACAGGACGACCCAAGATGGCAAAGATGAGAAACAATGTAGTATCCTTACGGGAAGAATAATTACAGACGATACATGGTCAATGTATGCTCTAGCACGAATCAACTATACAAGTCAATACATTACTGTACAGTTTTGTTGCTTCCCCATATTGTTTATAAATTTTTACTTGAGCATTCACAACCCATTTTCGGATGCAGAGGAACAACCTATCGGACAAGAGATGGCTTGTCAAGACTGGAAAAGTGTCACCGTTGCAATATAGCCATTCTTCATAACCTGCTAATAGCAAAGATCTTCATTAGCAATCTTTTCATCATATACCTAAGAGTAAATATTACCAACATAAGAGTTGTGCCGAATGCTAAAAAGAAAATCGAGTAAATTTAGCAAACTTTTACCTCAAATGCAGCATTCTGGTAGCCATACACAAAAGTAGAGCCAAAAGGATTGCTGGTAGAACCTTGTGTTTGAATAGCCGCACGGCCACAATCGCCAAGAATTTCCTGCAGTAAAAATATCAATCTAAGTGAACCATTATTATTGCAAAAGAATGAAACAGGGCCAGTGGAGGCACCAGGCAAACAGAGAGAGGTTGATGTTAAGGAAAAGGAAAAATATTAGTATGTATTCAACTGTAAAAAGTTACCTTGACCTGCTCCCATTTGGTGCTTGGAGTAATTCGGTTTTTGTAGTTGTTTACATCCAGGAAGGACCCCCCAACTGCGGGCAAGGAACAAACAAAAAAGTTCAATCAACCTCACAGATAACTGTAACGATGATAAAATGCTGAAAAAAGGGCTGATTGTAAGAACCTAGGATGACAAAATTGCACTTTATGTATGAATTGAAATCTGCATGACCAGGATAGTTCGTGTGTAAAACAAACTTCTTGACTTTATGAGTCTGCAAAATCAAAAAAGCATTCTAAGAACTTCTTAACAACATTAATTCTAAGAGTACAATGAACGTAGAATGTAAATAACATGGGAACACTAGCCAGAAAAATAAGTGTAGATAAAAGTGTACTATATAGTAAGGTTCCTTCATTTTTTTTGGGTGTTAGGTATATGTTTTGAATACCTGGCCATCAAATAAGATGTCCAAGCCACGAGTAAAATAATTGTAGAAATAATCAGCACAAAGAGTTGTCCGAGGACGAGGATCCGAAGCAGAGTGAATAACCATTTGGTCAACCTGTAGACAAAATCAATCATTGCTATAAGGGTAACATTCAAAAGATTCAAGCATAAAAGGTGGCTATACAAGAACTCAAAAACACTTTTCCATAACCGAATGCAAAGAAGAAAATAAATATCATGCATAATTACTAGGCTAATCTCGGTAAATTAGCTTACCCTTATTCCCATATGTAATGGGGTAAGGGGGAGGTAGGATATTAGGCTGCCCCCAACGCCAGGTTGAGAGCAACTTCCGTGAGAGACCTCCGAATTATGAAATGCCCTCCGTGGGACTTGATCCCACAACCTCAAGGTTAAGAACCTTGCGCTCTTGTTTTGATTTTAAATTTTGCCTTTTGCTGTTTGCTCTTGTTTTGAATTCATAATTCTAGCTTTTTATTTTGTACTCAAAAAGAAAATACCAAAAGCATATATTAAAAGAAGTTCCAATGCAACAACTCGTAGGCGTAAACTTGATGTGTATAAACAGTGTAAAAAAAAACCATAGCCCATTCCAAAGTTTTCATGCATTGTTGCTACCTACCTGCTTTTGATGGATTCCACAAGGGCGCCCTAATTCAGACCAGACATCCTGCATGAAAGGGAAATAACATAAAATTAGTAAGAGAACAAATGATAATCTACAAAGAGAAAGGAAATAAAGCTTAATCTCGAGTAATCAATTTGATATGTACCTGTGGTGATGCACCAAAGGGAATATGCTGGCCTCCAACAGTGAAAAATAATTCTTCCCCAAGCTGGAAAGATAGACATAGGATTCAAAAGATCAATCTTCAGAATAAGAGACCATCGATACTCTAGATGCCACTGAAGCAAACATTTAGGTCAATCAAAATATCAAACCCAAAAGGCATCCTTTCGTATAATATACTTATTTTCAATAGACATAATCCAAAAAGTAACTCTAGGAGGAATGTAAAGTAGAAAGGTAATCAGATACCAAAATGATATAGCCAACTCATATTAACAACAGGACTAAGGAAGATAGAAGTCAAACCTTGGCATGCACCTCTTCCATGTAAAGGCTGCCAGTAGGTAATGGAGGAGCAGATGCCTTATCCATTAAGGATCCAACACCAACTTTTTTGCCTGCAGAACTATCATAGATGGATACACGGCAGGTAACCGGGGTGGTTCCATCAGGAAATTCCAAAGGCAACTCCGCTGTCAAGTAAAAGAGAAAAATCAATTCGCAGCAAAATATATTAGGAGTTGACTGTCGAAGAGTAGGCATGAAAAGTAATCAGGAGAAACGAATAAAAACCTTCTCCATCATGACAGCAATCTGAATACTGACTTGGAATAGGAAAAGCAAATGAAAGACCCTGAAAAATAACAAGATAGGAAAACTGCAGACTTGGAGACAAAATAATCAAAATAACAATATAGAAAAGCAGTCTAGCAATCAAGTAATCAAGGCACGTACTGGGTAGAAGAGGGTATAAACACCTCTATCCTTGTCATAAGTTCCGGGATAGGTTGGACCAAAAAGTGCATAGACGGCTACAAAGGTAGCAAGAGTAGAAGGTCCCCTGCAGGCAGAAACCAGGTTCCCTATCAAAACTTGTAATTATGAAATGTGGAAATAAATTTAGCGCTTAACTTTACCCTATCAAAGAAGTGGCATAGCGCATTTGCAGCCGTTTGATATCAAAAATTTCGATAAGGCGTAACCTCTAGTAGAGAATCCAAAATTGAATCAATAAAATTAAGGAATCATGTGAAAGAAAAGATAAAAAAAATGTACTACAATGATGTGTATATGCACGTGTGAATTGAAAATAAAACCTGAGACCAAGGATCAAAACGGAGATGGAAGCCATGATCTGGAAAACTAATAACCATATCAAGCTTTAGAGGCTCCTGCGTACAAAGACATGATAAGGAAGGTTGGCCTTAATGTAGAACTTGCCGGGACTATAATAGTTACTCTGCATACACCAAACTGTCTTTAACAGCCAAATCAAAGAAAAAACTACAATCGAGGCAGACTGTATATATTAGGTCTATCCAAATTCCACACTAAAGAGTTCCATCTCACCAAAAAGTTCGTCAAACTATCAAAACACGACCTTACAGGAAGCAAAAATATTTAACGATTCAGTACAAACCTCATCATAATACTTCACATGAACAACATCGTAAATTTTAGGCTGTTGTTCTATTGAAGCAAATGCTTCACATATTGGCATTCCTGAAACAAACAGCAGCAAACAAACAAATTTTAGTCACAGTTTCAATTTTTCGAGTAAACAAGATAGAACCTGGCAACAAGCAAATAATCATGCTCATGTTGAAAAAAAGGAGTAAAAACGATTCAATTCCAATCGTTATTATTGATTTCGTTTTTGCAAATTTGGTAACAAAAATCAGCTGTGGAGAAAAATATAACCTAATAATTTGATTAAAATAAATCGCGGTTAATCGAATGAACAAAACTTGCATCGCATCCGATTATACAATCTATTTATCTCACCAATGAAATAAAAAATAAAAAAATATTGAGAGGGAAACGAACCGAGAGTGAAAGGTCCAACGCCTAGACCGGGGCGGAGATCGAGAACGATGGCGCCCATAGCGGCGCCTTCACAGCGACGTCCAGGTCTCTGTAACATTTCTTTTCTGGATTTTCCTTTTCTTTTTTTTTTTCTTTCTAGAGAGAAATTGGATGGGTTTCTTTCGTTGCTGATTGGGGCAAGTCTCCGTTACTTTCGTAAAAGAGACGTCGTGGCGTGGATTGCTTATATACGTGAAACTGCTGCTTTAAACCGAATCGGTTTGCTTAACGTTGACTACTACCTCAGGAAACGTTGACACCGTTGGGCAAGTCTCCGTTGCTTATATATTTGAATTTTTACATTTTTCTATTTTAATAAGTTTTTTAATGAAAATTGTGGATTATTTTTTTGTTATTTTAATTAGAAGTGTATAAAAAATTCCGATTTGATCCGGTGATCCAAAAAGAATTTTAGATAATCGAATTGAGTACGATCATATAAATTTCAATTTCAAATTATTAAAAAATTCAAAAAAATTGAGCTTATTTTAGATACATTTAAACTCAATAAATGATTAACCCACTAACTCATTAAATATATAACCCAATAAAAATTAAGATATTTAATTATTTATTGTGTTATAGTAGATGTATTGAATAAGTTACAAATCACAAAATTTAAAATTCTTATTTTTTTATCAAATTAAATTTTATATTTCGGATCATATATTTAGATATTCGACCTAAAAATTTGGATATCCAAAAATTCAGATATCTGATTTATTCGAATTAGATACAGATCACTAATTTAAGTATCTGAAATTTCCAGATCGGATCGAATCTAATATCCAAATTTACACACCCTTAATTATAATACATTCTTTACTACTATTGTAATATTTTTTAGAGTTAATTTTGACCATTATCTCTCCTATCTATCTACGTTTATTTAATTGTTTTATTGATTTATTCGTATTTTAAATTATTTTATTGGATTTTATTTTATTGATATTAGTTCGTAACTTTAAAATATTGGTTATGAATGAGTTATCTAATTAACGTGTTAATATTATCATGTGCATTTTTATATTAGCATTGATTATATTTTATCACATACAATGAAATTTGTTTGTAGATATGATTTTTCTTAAATTGTTAAATTAGATTTTAACCCTCTCTTTACTCTTTGATGGTTAGTTTATGATTAGTCTAGTATAAAAAAAATATCAGTATTGTGATTAATCGTTGTAGTTTATGGTTAGTTTATTATACTCTTTGTTAATTTTAGATGTTGAAAGTATTTTTCGCTCGAAGTATGATCTTAATGTTTATAACATTATTCTTTTAAGTGTCTACGTTATAATAATCTTTAAAAAAGATTGTTGTTATGTGACACGTACATTTATAAATATATTTTTAAAATTTTGTTTTTTTAAAATTAAATATTAAAAAACTCAAATTTCTTTAAAATAAAAAAAAAACCATGAAATCTCTACTTTCAAATTACATTTCCAACCATCGTTGATTATTTTGGTCCATCCACCTAACGTTGCCCGTCTATAACAATCATAGCCCTTGTTGTCACTGTAAACTCCTAAATCTCTAACACTAACTTTAATCTTAATGTTAATCCGGGGTTTAATTTGGGGAGGCATTCTACGGAAAGGAATTTAACTTCGGAGGGGTGTTCTCACAACGTTCCTAAATGAGGATGGGGACAGTTTCTTTTTTTTTATTAAAAAAACATGTTGGCTTTTATATAATATTTTTATTTTTTTTAAATGGGACCTTTTTTAAAATACAAACGCATGTCATATAACAATATTTTTTCCCTTACGATTATTACCGCGAAGACACTTAAATATTAATTTAATCGAAAAATTTTCAAGTATTTGAAATTAACAAAAAGTATAACTTAAGCATTTATTTATTTATTAAGACATGATATTTTTATAAATTCTATTTATAATCTTATTATATTTTTCCCTTATCTAATAAAACTATTAAATGCTATATTAGTTAAAAGAAGATGGTTATGTATCTAATTTTAAACTTAAAAAATTGAAATTCAATGATGCCCTTGCTTGGATTCTATTTAAAAAATTAGTTGACCCTATTCCCATATGTAATGGGATAAGGGAGAGGTAGGATAGTAGGTTGCTCTCAACGCCAGGTTAAGAGCAACTTCTGTAAAAGACTTCCGACAGTCATAATTATGAATTGTTTACCCTTATTACCTTCCATGAAATAATGTCTCGGCTTCCCTCTCTTCTCTTGCGGGCCCTAAGTGGTTCTCCCTTGCTATTAACCATACCCAAAACCAATTGTCTCAAACGTCGTTAATGGGCCAGCATGAACACTACAACCCAAACCAAAGGTCTTTTCAGTCCAAGTCGCTTTCTCAAATGAGAGCAAAAAGATAAACAATTCACACTTGCTTTCCTAGTGAACATAGTATTATTCTCAATACCTTTGGGATTATGCCTCCCAAACTATACTTCCTCAATTAAGGACCGGCCACGCACGAACCAAAATGTTAAATCATAATCTCATGGTGTCATGTGATAAGTTTTCAAACCCACCTTATTGCCTTTGTTTGTTTGGAGAAAACAAATCAGTGTGATTTTCTTGGTTGTCTAAATTCATTGTTTACACATCACTCATACAGTATTTTTTATACCATACTAAATCCAGTAGTCTGAAATAGGCCTAATTATGATTTGAGTCCCTATATTTTTTATTTCTCAAAATCTAATCCATTTGTCTTGTTTGATTTAAAACCGAAGTTTAATTAATAATGCATATTAAATTCAATAGAAGTTGATGCTATGCATGAATGGAAATGAAAAGTGTAAATTACATACTTACTCATCAATTATTCGCGTAGTTCTATTTTAATCATTCAACTATTTTATTGAAATCATTCTTAACATTACGGTTTAGTTTCATTTTTATCACTCATTGTTAAAAAATAATGATAATATTGATGTATTATCATAAGATAATATCACGTCATCATTGAAAGTTTAAAAATGTTATATCGACTATTCTATTATTTTTTTAACAATAAAAGATCAAAATAAAAATAAAATATAATATTAAATATATTTTTTTAAATAGATAGATCAAAATAAAATTACTTAAATAATTGGATGAATAAATATGTAGGTTTAAAAAACAAGAGAGCAAGTATTAAAACTGGAAGGAATTTTCAGGCACACATGTGGATCATGTCATTGGTGGTAGCTTTTGAACCAAATATATGTTTCCAAACTCCAAAGCTGTGGGTCCCATTCTTCCTTCGGCTTTTAGCCCTTGTACTGACCACGTGGAACTTAACCTCCGCTGTTGTATATTTATGTAAAATAATTTTAATATACAATTAAAGAAATGTTTTATTAAAATTATTATTATTTTTTTAATATTTTTGATAAAATGTTATTTTAGTATTATTTTTTTTATCGAAAATATTAATATTGGACATTATCTAAAATGTTTAATATTTACGGTAAAATGCTACTTAAAACGTTATTTTTTTCTATCATAAATGTTAATATTGAGTTCTATCGAAAATTAGTTAGTGGAAATAACATTTTACATAAAAAAATAATAATGTTTTAGGTAGTACTTTACCGAAAATATTAAAAAAATAATAACACTTTCGGTAGGACTTTTCCTTAGCCGTATATTAAGGTTGACATACAACAGAACTACCCACGATTCTAGGATATTATGTTAATTTAAATTTTAAAAACGACGATTTTAGTGCGTAATTAAAAATATGATAAAATTTATAGTATTTTATGTTAAATATAATTTAAAATATTATATTTTTATTAATAGTTTTTATTAAAATTAAAATATTACAAAGAAAACAATATTTTAAAAGAAAGATAAAATTTAAGTTATGTTTAATTTAAATACTATAATTTTTATTATATTTTTAATTACATTTAAAATTAGTATATTTTATCTTAAATTAAATCGTCACTCTTAAACTTCCTCGCAATCCAGCTTATGTGATTCCGAATTTTTATTAGAAACATAGACAGAGAGACGCACACTATTGTTTTCCCTGACACATCAATAATATTTTAAAGAATACAATTTGCTTGACAATGAGCCGCGTTTGACGGGTAATTATTTATACAAGTGACCGGCTAAAATTTAGACCGGTTATATTATATTATTTAACCGGAAATATTATAAAGTACAATAACATACTAGGTAGCGCTTATATAATGTAATAGGTAGCGCTTATATTTACCTATTTTATAAATAAACTGGTATATTTATACCGATAGCATTGCAAATTTACCTATTACATTATATTATATTGAAAGTGTCAATACTTTTTATAAAAAGGATCGATATTTCTTTTAAAGTTATGTAATTTATGTTTCAATTTTTTTTAATAGTGTTTCATGTTTTCCACTTACAATATTAATTTAATAATTTCATTTGCACAAAAAATTATATGATTGTTTTGATATTTTATAAAATATTATTTAGAATTTTTAATTTAATAATAATATATATCGTAACGTAAAAAATAAACCATTAGATGCCTATAATTACTAAATTAATATCTTAAAACTCACTCAAAAGATAACCTTAAATTAATGTTTTCCACAGTGAGCATTGCAAATTTACCTATTACATTATATTATATTAAAAGTGTCCATACTTTTTATAAAAAGGATCGATACTTTGTTTAAAGTTATGTAATTTATGTTTCAATTTTTTTAATAGTGTTTCATGTTTTCCACCTACAATATTAATTTAATAATTTCATTTGCACAAAAAATTATTTGATTGTTTTGATATTTTATAAAATATTATTTAAAATTTTTAATTTAATAATAATATATATCGTAACGTAAAAAATAAATCATTAGACGCCTATAATTACTAAATTAATATCTTAAAACTCACTCAAAAGATAACCTTAAATTAATGTTTTCCACAGTGAAAAAAGTATGGACACTTTTATAAAAAGGATAGACACTTTACAATATAACCACTACCTATTACATTATATAAACGATACCTATTACATTATATAAGCGCTACCTATTACATCATATGTTTACCTATTATATTGAAAGTGTCCATACTTTTTATAAAAATGATCGATACTTTTTTTTTAAAGTTATGTAATTTATGTTTCAATTTTTTTAACAGTGTTTCATGTTTT